GTATCAAGAGTGGTCATGATCCATCATTTGTGGATATTGGAGTGGTCTCTAGAGGTTAGTGAAGGTACTGCAAATCCCATCTTCCATGGTCTGTCCTCCTCCAAACTTCACCAGAACATACAGTGGGTCCAGGGGGGGGGGGGTTCCTGTGTGCCAAGTTTGGTCCTGATCCATCATTTGTGGAGGTCGGAGTGGTCTGGAAGTGAGTGACGGTATTGCATATCCCATCATCCGGGGCAACTTTGGTCCAGATCCATCATTGGTATCACAATGCTCTCTGGATGTAAGTGAAGTACAACTCCTATAAATCAAGGTCAGTTCCCCTCAAACCTGGTCTTGGGGATTGTGCGTGCCACATTGGTCCAGGTCCATTATTGCAGGGGGTCACAGTGTTCTGCCTTGATGCAGAGGAACTACAATTTCCATCCTGTTGAGTCAGTCCCCCAAACCCCTCCAGTCTGTTCAGTTGCTGATCAAATTCCTCTGTGTTTGCTGCGTGCCATAGGAAAGGGTTAAGGGAAAGGCAGTGGGCCTGGTCATGCAAATTCCACACAAGGAACCCTGGGATACATGCCTGTGGTGGAGGAAACATGTCAAAACTAGGATGAAGTTGTCCCAGAATGGAAGCATTTCTTCGGTAGTGGGCCGTAATGTTTGGGGAAGACATTGGCAGATTTTCAACTACATGTTCATGGCACTCGTTGTAACCTGCAGTGTCAGTAGAGGGAGTGCCTTTGGGGGCTTCTCAGCACTTGGAACTATAGCGTGTTTGTGTAAGTGGACACCTCTGCCACATACACACATACATATTTTAAGTTTATTATGTGGATAGATAGACAGACAGGCTGAGTTTGAAGATCAAAAATCCCCCATCTGCACTGACCATTTAATGCAGTTCCCAGCTAGCTTCAAACTGGCACATTGACCACAAATGTGAGGGGAAAAGCCATAAATGTGCAGCAAACCCACTTTATTCAATGCAGCTTTGAAACTGCATTAAATGGTCGGTGTAAATGGAGCCTTTGACTCCTGTTTTAATGAAAAATCCACTCCGGGATGGAGAGCGATTACCAAAAATCAAGGATAATTCAGGAAACCATTACAATAAACCATTTCCAGTCCCAGCATCCCAGAGATATCATTCCCGCAGTGAGGTGGGTTTGCCTGTCCTTGAAACTCTTTCAAAAATCTGCTTCAAACTGGCATGAAATAATTAAGGGAAAGGGAAAGGTTTCTCCTGACATTAAGTCCAGTCATGCCCGACTCGGGAGGGTTGGTGCTCATCTCCATTTCTAAACTGAAGAGCCAGCGTTGTCCATAGACACCTCCGAGGTCATATGGCCAGCATGACTGCATAGAGCGCCGTTACCTTCCCACAGAAGCGGCACCTATTGATCTACTCACATGTGCATGTTTTCACACTGCTAGGTTGGCAGAAGCTGGACCTGACAGTGGGAGCTCACCCCGCTCCCAGGATTTGAACCACTAACCTTTTTGATTTTATCTGCTGTGCCACCAGGAAACCCTATGAAATAGTTAAAAACCTTCAAAATGAGTTGAAATTAATATGCTTTGGTTGGTACCAGTTATGTTTGTTGTGAGTTTTAAACTGTTTTGATGGTATTTATTTCACGTGTCAAGTGTGAGACAGGAGAGAAGACGGGATGTCTGTCTTTGGATAAATAAATATGTTGATGACTTAGAGCAATGTTTCTCAGCCTTCCTAATGCCACGACCCCTTAATACAGTTCCTCATGTGGTGGTGACCCCCAACCATAACATTATTTTCGTTGCTACTTCATATCTGTCATTTTGCTACTGTTATGGATTGTAATGTAATTATCTGAGATGCAGGATGTATTTTCATTCACTGGACCACATTTGGCACAAATGCCAGATACATCTAAATCAATCAATGAGCATTCTGAACTCCACCACCCACGACCACCAGGAAATACTGGGAGGGTTTGGTGGGTATTGACCTTGAGTTTTGGAAGTGTAGTTCACTTACACACAGAGAGCACTGAGGACTCAAACAGTGATGGGACTGGACCAAACTTGGCACAAATTATTATTAAACTTTATTTGTACCCCGCTAGCATCTCCCGAAGGACTCAATGCGGCTTACAAAGGCCAAGGCCTCAATACACAACATAACAATACACTTAAAGCAAATTAAAAACAATTAAAGCAGTATTAAACAACAAAGAACCACAAGCAATAACAATACATCAAACAAGGTAAAAACTGGGCCGGGCCAGAGTAAAGGGTACAGGGTTAAAAAGTGCTGATGTGACAGGTGATATGTAAGGATTAGAGGGCAGTACAATGTGCAGTGTACGGCAGTCTTAATTCTAATAAAGTGCGTCTGGGACTTGGTATTGGAGATTTCCTAATCAGGAAAGGCACATCGGAACAGCCAGGTCTTCAAGTTCTTTCTGAAGACTGCCAATGTAGGGGCCTGTCTAAGATCCTTGGGGAGAGTGTTCCAGAGACGGGGGGCCACCACGGAAAAGGCCCTGTCTCATGTCCCCACCAAACGTGCTTGCGACGCCGGTGGGATCACGAGCAGGGCCTCTCCAGATGAGCGTAGTGAACGCATGGGTTCGTAGACAGAGATGCGGTCACGCAGGTAGGCTGGTCCCAAACCGTTCAGGGCTTTGTAGGTAAGCACCTGCACCTTAAATTGGGCTCGGAAGATAAACGGCAGCCAGTGGAGCTCCTTGAACAGAAGGGTTGATCTCTCTCTGTAAGGAGCAGATACTCAATATTCCCAAATGTGAAAAGGAAATTACCTTCAGGCTATGTGTAGAAGATGTATTTCTATATAAATAAAAATGTAATGTTCGTTTGTGGGATTAACACAATTCAAAAACCGCTGGATGAATTGCCGCCAAATTTGGCCACAAGTCACCTACTAACCCAAGGAGTGAATATCACTCAAAAAATGTTTTTGTCATTTGGGAATTGTAGTTGCTGGGATTTATACTTAACCTACAATATTTATAGTTAACCTACAATAAATTCCCACACAGAACCCCCAGGACCAACAGAAAATACTTAAGGCCATCCAGTCCAACTCCCTTCACCAGGACAAGAAAACGTAATCCTTTCTCCCTACCCTAGCTCCTTTTAGGAAAGATCTAAAAACTTGGCTCTTCCGATGTGCCTTTGGAGCGTGACCACTCAACTCAGGGGTCCTCAAACTTTTTAAACAGAGGACCAGGTCACAGTCTTTCAAACTGTTGGAGGGCCGGATTATAATTTGAAAAAAATCCTATGCACACTGCACATATCTTATTTATAGTGCAATAAACACTTTAAACAATACAATAATTAAAACGAAGAACAATTTTAACAAATATAAAGTTATTAGTATTTCAATGGGAAGTGTGGACCTGCTTTTGGCTGATGAGATAGGGTTGTTGTTGTTGTGTGCTTTCAAGTTGTTTCAGACTTAGGTTGACTTTGTGCGAGGGCCGGGTAAATGACCTTGGAGGGCCGCATCCGGCCCCCGGGCCTTAGTTTGAGGACCCCTGACTTAACTCATTTGTTTGTCTCAACCTACAGTTGTCCTTTTGACAAAGCACCTTCCCCTGCCCCCTATAAAGCCCAAACCCTCCTGCTCCTTTCTCATAAATGCACTTGTCATTCCTATCTCACCCACGGTTTTGACCTTTAACATTTTATCTCATACATCTGGCCCGCCCATTGTGTTTGATTAGCTAGCAGAACATAAATAGATTTTGTGTTTAGACTTGGGTCCCATCTCCAAAGTATCTCATAATGTACTTTAACTGCCATGGATCAATGCTATGGAATCATGGGAGTTGTAGTTTTAGCCTCTCTAAAAGTGTGTTGGTGGCTCACCAAACTACACATTCCAGAACTCCATAGCATTGAATCGTGGCAGTTAAAGTTTCTCCAAATGCACTAATTCCACAGTGTAGATGCAGCCTTGCTGAGTGCCGATTTGGGCTTCATTTCAACATGGCATAAAAACATAAATGAATATGTTGAAAATCAGCAGATCTGATGACCTAGACTAGAGTGATCATTCTCAGGTTGCATGCCATTGGTTATCAGCCCTCCTAAAGAGAGGCCTCCTGCTCAGTCGCTCTAAGCTTTTGAGTCAGAGTTTGAATGCAGAATGTAGATGTTGAATCTTTTCCCTTTGTTTGACCTGAGAAGAAACAAGGATTATACGATATCTCTATTTATTCTCCGTTAGATAGTCTCCACCCCATCTTCCTTGTGGTTTAATTAATTAATTAATTAATTAATAATCTTTATTTATACCCTGCTACCATCTTCCAAGGGACTCGGTGCGGCTTACATGAGGCCGAGCCCACAATACATCAATACAAGCAATAACAACCACAATACGAAGCAAAATACAAATACTAATACAAAGCAATTAAAATAAATCTCATACACAAATAAGCATAAACATTGAAAAATAGCACAAAACACATTTAAAAACTATGGCTGGGCCAAATGTAATTAAGCTAAAAAAATAATGCTGGGTATGAACAAGATAGAGGAGGTGGGGCGGTGGTTTAATACACTTTTTGAAACTTTTAAGGTAAATGCTGCACCTCCAGTTTCTTTAAGCTCCAGAATCTTTTCATCCATGCTATTGCCAGCTTGAAAGCTGTTAAGAATTGTGAGAGATGAAGTCCAAAACACCTGGAGAAAGACAGTTTGAGAAACTCTGCCATGGGGAGATTTGGCCTTTCAGATAGGCTGGACCTACACTGCATAGGGATGTATAGGTTGCAAACGTCTCTGTGAATGAATTGCATCTCAAAATATACCAGTATCCAAAGAAGCATTTTAAGGAAGGGAGTTCTATGCTTAGAGAACAACTTGCAGGAAGACAGAGGAAGGGGAAAGGTCTCGTGTCCAGGTTCACAAAGGCTGAGGCATTTGGAGAGCTCAGAGGTTGTAGCACCAGAGGTTGGGCAGAGGCGTCAGCTGCTTTCCGGGAAGAGAAAGTCTGAGAAACGAAAGTAAGGCTGTTATCTTTGCCTGGTCCTCGCAGTGGAGAAGCATCTGCAGCCATGGCCTCTGGAGACCCTGTGAAGAAGCTCTGTGAGGAACTGGCCTGTCCCAAATGCTTGGAGTATTTCAAGCAGCCTGTGATGATCATCTCCTGTGGTCACAATTTCTGCCAAGCCTGCCTGGATCAATGCTGGGAGGAGAAAGGGGCCTCCTGCCCACAATGCAGGAAGCAAGTGCAGGAAGGGGACATAAAGCGGAATTGGCAACTGGCAAACCTGGTGGAGATCGCCAAGGAACTGGGGAGCCAGAAGGTGGAAGAGAAGAGGAGAGTCTGCCAGAGGCACCAGGAGCCCCTGAAGCTCTTCTGCAAGGACCACGAAGCCCCCATCTGTGTGGTGTGCGACGGGTCGAAGGAGCACAAAAACCACAAAGTGATCCCTCTGGATAAAGCATCAAAGGAGTACAAGGTAGGGGGGGTAAAATAGGGCCCCCTAACCATATGTTGTGGTACATCTCCAACCCACAATACAGGTCTGTGGCTGAAGTTCCATATTTCCCCAGGCTCTGATGTTTTCAGGGATCAAGGGTGCATCTACACTATAGAATAAATGCAGTTTAACTCCACTTTGACTGCCGTGGCTCAATGCTACAAACCGTGGTAGTTGCAGTTGTACAAGGTCTTTTTCATTTTTGCCAAAGTGCCAATGCCTTACCAAACCACAAATCCAAAATTCCATAACTTTGAGTCCTGATGTGATTTTGCTGCCATCGTGCTGGCACAGAAGAGGAAGGGACTCATCGCATCAAGGAAAGTGACAGGACCATTGTGGGAGTGTGAGCTATAGGTGGGTTTTCATTGTCAATAACTAGAGATGGGGAAAACATGAGGAGGAGGCAAGACAGCAGCAGGACGAACATGGCATCACGCAATAGGGATGCAGGAGTTTGCCTGCCTCCTGCGATAGCATCCACCATGTGCATCTTCATTTGGAGGGACTTCTTATGAGTAAATAAAATTCTGGAAGCAGTAGTAACAAAAGAAGAGAGGGTGCCAATGGAGGTCAACATTATCCAAAGCTTCCATAAAATTTGATAAATGTGGTATGGTTGATGATATGGTCTTTGAAACTATTCTAAAGCTTGAAGAAAAGCAGTGACCAACAGCTTTCTTTTCCTCTTCAGGATCAGATTTGGAATTTTCTGGAGACGCTGAAGAAGGAGAGAGAGAAAATTCTGGCCTACAAAGCAGACACAGCACAAGAAAGCCAAGATTTGCTCGTAAGTGGCATTGCTACTTGGTGAATGACCTGCAAAGAGAGATAGACGGGAGAGTGTGTCCTTGTTGCTTCTCTTGGATATCTCAGTGGCTTTTGATACCATCAATCATGTTATCCTTCTGGGGCGGCTCTCCGGAATGGGTCTTGAGGGTCTTGAGGGCACTGCTTTGCAGTGGCTCCACTCCTTCTTGGAGGGTCGCACCCAGTTGGTGAAGTTGGGAGCCACTGCTCAGACCCCTGGTCTTTGACCTATTTATTTATTTATTTATTTCTTGCATTTATTAACCGCCGCTCTCAGCCCTAGGGCGACTCGCGGCGGTGTACAGTACAAAAGACACTTACAAAAAATCAGAACAACAACTAACATCATTAATACATAACATCTTAATTACACTAAAAATCCGCTTCGTCATATTATGGAATCGTAATCAATCTCGTAGTCATAGTTCGTTCCGGTTGTCTTTACTAGTAACCTAGCACTTAGTTGAAAGCCTGCTCAAAGAGCCAAGTCTTCAGGCCCTTACGAAAGGCCATGAGGGAGGGGGCCTGTCTAACGTCAGCAGGGAGGGAGTTCCACAGCCGGGGGGCTACCACCGAGAAGGCCCGCTCCCTCGTCCCAGCCAAACGTGCCTGTGAGGCAGGCGGGATCGAGAGAAGGGCCTCCCCGGATGATCTCAAGGTCCTCGTGGGCTCGTAGGCCAAGATGCGGTCCGCAAGGTATTTTGGGCCGGAACCGTTTAGGGCTTTGTAGGATAACACCAGCACCTTAAATTGGGCCCGGTAGCAAATCGGCAGCCAGTGGAGCTGGAACAACAAGGGCGTTGTATGCTCCCTGCGTCCTGCTCCTGTTAACAACATGGCTGCCGCGCGCTGGACTAGCTGAAGCTTCCGGACCGTCTTTAAGGGCAGCCCCACGTAGAGAGCGTTGCAGTAGTCAAGACGGGATGTGACCAGAGCATGTACCACCGTGGCCAAGTCAGACTTCTCAAGGTACGGTCGCAGCTGGCGCACGAGCCGAAGCTGTGCAAATGCTCCCCTGGTCACCGCTGAAACCTGGGGATCCAGGCTCAGCGATGAGTCCAGGGTCACACCCAAGCTGCGAACCTGCGCCTTCAAGGGGAGTGCGACCCCATCCAGCACAGGCTGTAACCCTATACCCTGTTCGGCCTTGCGACTGACCAGGAGTACCTCTGTCTTGTCTGGATTCAATTTCAATTTGTTCGCCCTCATCCAGACCATTACAGCGGCCAGGCACCGGTTCAGGACTTCGACAGCCTCCTTAGTAGCAGGTGGGAAGGAGTGACAGAGTTGGACATCATCTGCGTACAGATGGCACCGCACCCCGAAACTCCGGATGATCTCACCCAGCGGCTTCATGTAGATATTAAACAGCATGGGGGACAGGATAGAACCCTGAGGAACCCCACAGGTCAAAGGCTGCGGAGTTGAACAGGAGTCCCCCAATAACACCTTCTGGGTCCGACCCTCCAGGAATGATTGGAGCCACTGCAGAGCAGTGCCCCCAAGACCCATTCCCGCAAGGCGTTCCAGAAGGATACCGTGGTCGACGGTATCGAAGGCCGCTGAGAGGTCCAGGAGCACCAACAGGGACACACTCCCCCTGTCTAGCTCCCGGCGCAGATCATCCACTAAGGCGACCAAGACCGTCTCAGTACCATGTCCCGGTCTGAAACCAGACTGTGCCGGATCCAGATAATCCGTGTCTCTCAAGAATACCTGGAGTTGTGAGGCCACCACGCTTTCCATGACTTTGCCCAAAAAGGGGAGATTGGAAACAGGCCGAAAGTTGTCAAATTTGGTGGGGTCCAGTGATGGTTTTTTCAACAGCGGTTTTATAATAGCTTGTTTTAAGCTCGCTGGAATCTTGCCTTCCCGAAGGGAGGCATTAACCACCACCGTTACCCACTCAGCCAATCCCCCTCTGGCCTCCTTCAGAAGCCAGGATGGGCAGGGGTCTAGGATGGACGTGGTGGGCCTCATTCCTCCAAGTATCTTGTCCACATCCTCGGGCTTCACAAACTGAAAAGAATCCATCAAAATAGGACAAGCAGGTGCTCGTGTCACATCCTCAGAGACTGCATTTAACATGGTGTCCAGCCCAGAACGGATCAAAGCGACTTTGTCTGCAAAACCGAGCAAATGCTTCGCAGCGCGTGACCGAATTGTCAGGGCTCCCGCCTGAGGTGGCGGGAGTTAAAAGACCTCTGACAATCCGGAACAACTCCGCCGGACGGTTTTTTGCAGACGCAATAGTGGCCGCAAAGAAACTTTTCTTTGCGGCTTTTATTGCCGCGGCATATGCCCTTAAAAAGGACACAAACCGTGTTCGATTTGGCTCGCTTGGGTCCGAACGCCACACGCTCTCTAGTTCCCTCTTCCTTCGCTTCATCGCTGCCAACTCCTCAGTGAACCAAGGAGATGGTTTAGCTCGGTTACTTGAGAGGGGACGTTCCGGAGCGATCATGTCAATTGCCCTGGCCATCTCCCCATTCCAGAGAGCGACCAAGGCCTCGACATGGTCACCTGCCGAGGTGGCGGGAAAGTCCCCAAGAGCCGTCAGGAATCCATTCGGATCCATAAGCCTCCTGGGGCGGACCATCTTAATGGGTCCTCCACCTTTGCGGAGGTTGGGGGGCGCAGTGAGTCTAAATCTGATCAGGAAGTGGTCAGTCCACGGCAACGGAGAGATGGACAACTCCTCCACACCGCCACCCTGCTCCCATCCCTGGCAGAAAACCAAGTCCAATGTATGTCCAGCACAGTGGGTGGGGCCAGTTATTCGTTGGGACAGCCCCATGGTTGCCATGGCGGACATGAAGTCCTGAGCCGCTCCTGTGAGGGTTGTCTCGGCATGGATGTTGAAGTCCCCCAGCACAAGAAGCCGTTGGGACTCCAACGCCAGGCTCGAGACCACCCCCGCTAGCTCAGGTAGGGAGACTGTAGTGCAGCGAGGTGGACGGTACACTAACAGAATCCCTATTCTGTCCCGGTCACCCACCCTCAGGTGGACGCATTCAAAGTTTGTGGTCTGCGGGATGGGGCTCCTGGTCAGATGGATGGAATCTCTATAGACCACTGCGACCCCGCCTCCCCGTCCTCCGGATCTCGGTTGGTGCTGTACGGAGAAACCTGGAGGGCAAAGCTGGGTCAGATTTACACCTCCAGCTTCATCCAACCAGGTCTCCGTAATGCACGCCAGATCTGCCCGCTCCTCCAGGATTAAGTCCTGAATCCAGGTCGTTTTTCCGTTGACAGATCTGGCGTTCAGCAGCACCACCTTCAATCCCGAGGGCCCGCTCACCTGGTTACACCAATTTACCTTAGGAGACCGGTTTAGGGTTATTAATGTTGGTAAGCGGTCCGAATTAGGCCGAATTCGAGGTCTCCTTTTTCCGCATCTCCTCCTTCCCACCACGACCTCTATGGGGGCCCCTCGGCTAGTGGAACACCTCCCCCCCTCCATGCCGCGGTCTAATATCAAGGTCTTTGTTCCTGCTTCATCAGTTGTTTGAATTGTTGGACCCTGCCAACACCCTTTCACCCTATGGGGTCCTGCAAGGTTCCATTCTATTCCCCATGTCTGGATCTGTAGCTTTCTGGCAAATATTTACCTCACAAATAAAGCATGCATTAGGGAACGCAACAAAATTCCAACTGCCAGTTTATTTGCCTGATGCCTCCTATCCTTCACGCTGTCCCCTCCCCTTCATTGCTCCCATTTCCCTGGCAACCCTCATCCTTGTTTCACATATACACAGGCCAGATCTAAGGCATGACCTAATTTCCTGGCTTCACTCAAAACCAAGAAATAAGGTCATGACACCCAGTGCTTTTTCATATCTACATGAAACCACTGGGTGAGGCCATTTGGAGTTTTGGAGTTTGGCGCCATCTGTACGAAGATGGCGCCAATCGCTCTATCACTCATTTCCACCAAATTCTAAGAAAGCCCCCGGATCTGGCAGCTGTGATGGACTGGATGAGGGCTAAGAAGCTGAAGCTTAATTCAGACAAGACAGAAGTCCTCCTGTCAGCTGCGAGACCGATTGGGACACGGGGTGGTAGCCTATGCTCGATGGGGTCCACAGTCTGGGGGTCCTTCTAGATTCAACGCTGATGTTAGATGCTCAGGTGCCCCTAAACGGTTTGGGCCCCGCCTATCTTCATGACCGCATCTCCCCCTATGAACAGGCACAGGCTCTAAGATCAGCTGGGGAGGCCCTCCTCTCGGTCCCAAGCATGGTTGGTGAGGACGAGGACGAGGGCCTTCTTCCCTCCCCAGGGAGATCAGGCAAGCCTTTACACTGCCCTCCTTCGGCAGAGATTTGAAAACCTGGGCATTTCAGCAAGCATTTGAGAATGACTAGTCCCTAGTTACATATGCCCAGTCCCTAGTTCTCTAGATAGTCCTCTGGTCTCTGCTCTTCATCCAACTCTCGGTCCCTATGGTATGGGGCTTTGCACTGACTATCCCATGCTCGCTCCCTTTTCTAGCCTGTTCACACCCATTTTAGTATTTTTGGTTATTGGTTTTTGTCGAGCATTGTTTTTATGGTGCTTCAATGCTGCTGCTTTATATTCTTATACTCTATCTAATTGTGTTTTTAGCTGGATTGTTATATTTTACCATGTTTTATTTTATTGTGTTTTTTGTGGTGATGGGTTGTTTTCCTTTTATGTCTTGTGGACACTCTGTCCCATATGCCAACCACCTCGAGTCCCCTTAGGGAGATGGTGGATGGGTAGAAGAAAAAAGTTGTTATTATTTTTGTTGTTATAGCCTTGAATGTGAGTCTGAATAAATGGAATTCCTTTTGTGAAAAATATCTCCCATTGTAAGAGACCTGAAAGCCTACAGAAAATATTGACCCAAACCCATTCCAGTGTCAGGCCCTTGCAGGTCTTCACAAAGTGCTTTCACCACTGGATATAGACCTGTTCTTTGTGAAGAGATGTAAGCCCCACTTCAAAGGAACACAGAGGATTCACTCCAAAGACCCTTTTTCTGCCTCTCACTCCTGTTTCTCCTTTCTTTTATTTTAGGAGAAAACCCAAAGAGAGAAGGAGAAGACTGTTGCTGCATTCAAACACATGCATCAGTTTCTAGACAAACAAGAGAGGAATCTGCTGGCAAAAATAGAAGAGATAGAGAAGGAGATTTCAGCCAAAGGGGAGGAGCAGCTGGCCAGACTCTCTGAAGAACTCTCCTCTCTCTTGAAACTCATTCAAGAGATGGAGGAGAAGCATCAACAGCCGACAAGTGAACTCCTCCAGGTAAGGGCAAGATTGTCCCCATGGGTGGCTGAGACAGAGACACTTCAGTTTTCTCATGGTTCTGTGTGCACAAACTGTTGTATGACATTAGCTTTGTGCTGTGTTTATGAGGCAAAGAAGTAACATATATGAATTTAACACTAACCACCGCCGACAGGGAGCTCTAGCGTGGGCTGGTCCATGGGGTCACATTCAGAAGCAACTGAACGAGTAAACAACAACAACACTAGTTTGGGTTCCATCTCTAAGAGATCAGATCGATCTGGGTTGTTGTAAGGTTTTCGAGCAGTATGGCCATGTTGCTCCTTGGTCCTTGTACAGATTCCTCAGGAGAGAGACAAGGTGGCTTGGTATGCCCATCCCACCAAGAACTTGCCACAATTTATTATGATCCACACAGTCAAAGGCTTTAGAATAGTCAATGAAGCAGAAGTAGATGTTTTTCTGAAACTCCCTGCCTTTCTCCATTATCCAGCGGATATTGGCAATCTGGTCTCTCGTTCCTCTGCCTTTTCTAAACCCAGCTTGAACATCTGGCCACTCTCGCTCCATGTATTGCTGGAGTCTTCCTTGCAGGATCTTGAGCATTACCTTACTGGCATGAGAAATAAGGGCCACTGTACGGAAGTTTGAGCGGTCTTTCGCATTTCCCTTTTTTGGTATGGGGATATAAGTTGATTTTTTCCAGTCTGATGGCCATTCTTGTGTTTTCCATATTTGCTGGCATATGGCATGCATCACCTTGACAGCATCATCTTTTAAGATTTTAAACAGTTCAGCTGGGATCCCGTCGTCTCCTGCTGCCTTGTTGGTAGCAATGCTTCTTAAGGCCCATTCAACCTCACTCCTCAGGATGTCTGGTTCTAATTCATTCACCACACCGTCAAAACTATCCTCGATATTATTATCCTTCCTATACAGATCTTCTGTATAGTCTCGCCACCTTCTCTTGATCTCTTCAGCTTCTGTTAGGTCCCTGCCATCTTTGTTTCTTATCATACCAATTTTTGCCTGAAATTTACCTCCAATGTTTCTAATTTTCTGGAAGAGGTCTCTTGTCCTTCCTATTCTGTTGTCTTCTTCAACTTCCGTGCATTGCTTATTTAAAAATAGTTCCTTATCTCTTCTGGCTAACCTCTGGAATTGCGCATTTAACTGGGCATATCTCCCCTTATCACTGTTTCCTTTTGCTTTCCTCCTTTCTTGGGCTACTTCCAGTGTCTCAGCAGACGACCAAGGGCAAGATGGATGGATGGCATCCTTGAAGTGACTGGACTGACCTTGAAGGAGCTGGGGGTGGTGACGGCCGACAGGGAGCTCTGGCGTGGGCTGGTCCATGAGGTCACGAAGAGTCGGAGATGACTGAACGAATGAACAACAACAAATGGCCATGTTCTCACAACCTCTGAGGATGCTTGCAATAGATGCAGGTGAAACATCAGGAGAGAATGCTTCTGGAACATGGCCTTACAGCTCGAAAAACTTACAGCAACCCAGTGATTCCAGCCATGAAAGTCTTCAACAACACATCAGATCGATCGATCACACAAAATATGTCAAAAAGTATATGCAGTCTGGCTGCAGAATTTATTTTAATCGACTTTCAGAAAAGACAAATACAACATTTTGGACATAATCTCCCTGTGTTCCAATACCGTTTGTCCATATGTCAACAAGCTTTTGTATTCCCTTATTTAAAATGAATAGACCGCTGTCTTCACCGATGTCTACACTTCTACATCAGACATGAACCTTCGTCGTCATAGGGTTTCTTTCAGGGATCCAAATAGGTGATGGTCCAATGGCAAGATCAGGACTATAGGGAAGTGTGCAGACATGCATTGCCCTGCAACAACACAGTGCCCTCGGATAGCAGACCTCTCCATTTTGTCTGAATGGAAGGCCTCCGTTCTTCAGTGTAGTGTAGTGAACCCTGTAAATGACTGAACCTTCTTCCTGATAATATTCCAATACCGTCCATTGAGAATCTCAGAAAACTGTAAGCAAGATGGATGGATGGCATCCTTGAAGTGACTGAAGAAAACCATCACTTTTCCAGCTGATGGTTTGTTTTTGAGTTTTTTTAATTGGTTGGTGACTGAGGATGTTTTTATTCCCCACTCTGCCGTTTACTCTCAGGCTTATATGAATCCATGTCTCGCGACCAATAATTATCCTTTTTATGAAACTTTCACCTTACTTACAGTATCGGTTCACATTTTGTTTGCAAATATCCAAACTCTTCTGTTTGTGCTCTTCTGTAAGTCGTTTTGACACCTGTTTTCCTCAAACTTTTTGAAACCCAGGGGTGTTGTAGATTATTGCATTGGCAGAGCCCTGGCTGATTTGCAAATGATTTCCCGTATAACCCACTGTCACTCGTCTATCCAACAGAATCAGTTCACGCACATGCTTCATTTTGTTGTGTCTTGGACATGTGTTATCAAAAATAGTACACACACACACCCTCATAGATATATGAAATCATATTTTTTTAATTAACAAAACACATCCAGCTCTTTCTCTCTTTCCATTTTTTTCTAACTTCTTCACTGTTGCAAAACTTTGCACAATCGAACTGCCAGCTCCAATATGTTATCATTCTGTTTCTATGACTCAGAATATGGCTAAGTCTCCTTCTCTGGAGGATTTTAAATAGAAGATGGATGGCAGTCTGGTGGGAGTGCTCTGATTGTGTATTCTTTCTTGTATTGCATCTGGTTGGACTGAAGAGATCCAGATTCCTCATATACTGGGCTTTGCATTTGGTGGCTCAGCCAAAATGCCGTTTGCAAAATAGTGCCAGTGGTTACATAGATCTACCCGTCTCCACCTTAGTTTGTGGAGGAAAGGCTACTTCGCCCTCCTGGGTTGTCTTCAACCTTGTTGCTTCGGATATATGAGAGTGGTCTCCATGCAAATGCCTCTGCTGAGTTCTTTCTTTCCTTCATTTACAGGATATCAGAAGCACCTTACAGGGGTAAGTACGTTCCCTCTCCTCCCCCCATTAAACTTCAGATTTCCACCTGAAATACATGACTCTCAAAAGCAAGGGCACATTGCAGGCGTCTGTGTTTGGCTGGTGTTCACAGGCAGAAATGGACTGGATGGCCAATGAGAACCCTTCAACTCTATGATTCTGTGGAGCATTTACACTCTAGAATTATTACAATTTGATAACAACAACATCAACTTTAATTTGTTATCCACCTCTCCCCACGACTTGAGGTAGAACACAATCCAGCCAAAGCACACCACCATGAATACATACCATAAAATATGTACATGACAACACACCATCACAAAACACATATCTTAAAATACACAATGCAAGGATTCAAATGCAGTGCCAAGAGAAGATACATTTAAAGTTCACAGTTTGAAATTGTCTTGAACTGCCATGGCTCAATGATGTGGAATCCAGGCACCAGCGCTTTTTGGCAGAGAAGGCCCTGTAAATTATTGCATAGCACTGAGCCATGGGAGAGTTAAAGTGGTGTCAACCTGCATTCGTTCTTTTTGTGCATCCTCTGATATTGTTCTTTCTCCTACAGGTATAAGAACAAGGAGGAATTTGAGACTTCTGCAGCCTTTCCTCCTGCCCTGAAGTGGAAGATCTGGGACTTCTGTGATATCAATCCCTTTCTAGAGGGTCTCATGAAGCAATTCAGAGGTAAGGAAGAATGTCTGCAAGGATTTTCATGAAATGTGACATTGGTCTGAAAGGGGAGAAAACTTCCAAAGCATTTGGAAACTTAGAGCCACTATTGGAATGCCAATCGAAACAATTTCAAATGTGAAACAAAATGGTATTATTTTCTGTATTAATTTGTTCGGTACTGTTTCATTATCCAGGTGGGGAAAGATTATTATTATTGTATTGACACAAAAGCACAGTATATCACAGCAAACGAGATCTATATGCTGGATTTCGTATCACAAAATCACACGTTGAACACTTTCCAAGCATCTAGGACTCTGTGATGTATTTTCGAATGATGCGCGCAGAGCCAAGTCAGGTGGCCTTTTGCAGTTGACAGATCATTATTTTGTCAATGTTTATTGTTTCCAAATGCCGGCTGAGATCTTTTGGCACGGCACCCATTATTATTATTATTATTATTATTATTATTATTATTATTATTATTATCTCCCGCTTTATCTCCCCTGAAGGACACTCAAAGCAGCTTGGGGCTTGAAGGAGTTAAACCATTCCCCCCTGTTTGCCTGTTATTTCCTCCCACCCATGTCACCATTGTCAAAACAACCGTCGCTTATGATACACTGCCATATAAAATCCATATTATCAAAACAGATAATAATAATAATAATGACAACAAAAACAACAACAACGGCATTTGGAAACAATAAACATTGAAAAAATCACGATCTATCAATTGCAAAAGGCCACCTTACTTGGATCTGTGCGCATCATTTGGAAATATATCACACAGTCCTAGACACTTGGGAAGTGTTCAACTTGTGATTTTTCGATACGAAATCCAGCATATAGATCTCATTTGCCGTGACCTACTGTGGTTTTGTGTCAGTAAAATAAGCTGTATTTGTATCCCACCCCTCTCCACGAGGGGACTCAAGGATTTCAACAATAAACAGATACAATAAATAATAAAGCACTGACACTCATCACATGTCACTTAATGCAACAAAAACACAATATTATAAACATTAGCTTATACTATTAGTAAAACTAATTTAAAAACTATTTTGCCCTCTAAAAACAGTAGTAATATACAGCTGTTTAAAACCAGCCAATTCCTCTGATCAGGATATCCAACATTGTGCATTATAGTTCTAACAGCCATTCCAGTCCTGTCCACTAAGGTGGTTAATGCTCTTAACCATTATCAGAAGCCTACTGGAAAAGCCAGGTTTTTAACTCCTTCCGGAAAAATAAAAGACTGGGTATTTGCCTATTTCCTTGGAGAGGACCAAGGAAATAGGCAAGAGTTGGGGGCCACTACCGAGAAGGCCTCTCCCTCGTCCCCTCAAACCTCACTTGTGAGGGAATTGGGATAGATAGGAGGGCCTCCCTGGCTGATCTTAAGGCCCGAAATAATTATCTGCTTTGAACTGGAATATATGAGTATACACTGCCATATAATCCAATTCAAAGCAGATAATCGGAATTTATATGGCAGTGTAGAAGGGACCTAGGTTACCCAGTGAGAAGTTGACCATCTGAAAGAAGTTGCACTTGGAGATTCTTTGAGAGGTGTTCTCTGTAGGGATCTCTATTCCCCCAGCATGACATTACAATTGAGTCACTCTGGAGGGGACTTGGAGACTCCCAGAGAGAACACTTTGATCAATGAGATGTAACTCTCCACGGGTAAAGTCACACTACATCTCTTGGGTGCAGGATCTCAGCCTTCTTGTGTTGGTTATCCCTGGGTTTCTGAGAGTCACCATGTTGTGCGAAGCCTCACTCTCTTTTCTCTCTCTCCAGCCTCTCTGGAATCTGGCCTTCAGCAGGAAAAAGGTAAACAAACAAACACATTTTTTCACAGAGGGTCGCATTGAGGCTGAGAGAGTGGAGTGCGGTTCGCCTGTCTGAGTAGATTTTTAAAGCTCTGAACAAACGGCATATGCTTGCAGTCTGTATAGAATTTCCCAAAGAGTGTCAAAATCACCTGAACACTGACTTTTTATGGCTCTTTGCTTCAAGCTTATTTTAGTGGCACACATGATGCACTCCTAGATAAAGAATGAGTCCCCTTCCCCAATGTGAAATATGTGGGAATTTGATATTGGCATAAAGCCAGGTGATTAGCCTGCCTTTAAATTCTTTCCGAATTCTGGTAAACCGAGATGACCCTATGATAGGGTTTCCTGGGGTGGAGAGTATGCGCTTGGCACAAGGTTACCCAGTGGGTTTCCATGACTGAGGGGGATTCAAACCTGGGTCCCTAGAGTCATAGTCCCTTCACTCCATGCTCAAGTGTTGGCTGTAGGAAGAAGAGTAACGTAATGTTGAACCAATCTAGATTTGAGGGATTATTTCCCTGTCATTTTTTAAGAATCAGAAATGAAAGCCGATCTTCCATCAGTTTTCTCTTTCTTTCTTTCTTTTTCACTTCACCCCTGATCTGTTTCCGCCACCAACAGCACATGTGACTCTGGATCCAGACACAGCCCATCCTCGTCTCATCCTCTCTGAAGATCACAGGCATGTGGCATATGGAGATAAACGGAAAGATCTTCCTAACAATCCTGAGAGATTCAATCATTATACTTTTGTGCTGGGCCAGGAGGAATTTACTGGGGGAAGGCATTTTTGGGAAGTCCTTGTGAAGAACGGGGAAAAATGGTTCGTGGGGGTTGCCAGAAAGTCTGTGCAGAGAAAGGGCACCTTTCCCAGTTTCTTTGACGCTGGGATCTGGCGAGCGGGAAAGTTAGGAGGTATAGGTTTGCCCCGATCTCTGACTCTGAGAGAGGAGCCCAAGAGGATCCTAGTGACTCTGAACTATGAAGGGGGTCGGGTGGCCGTTTACAATGCAGACTCAGCAGCCCTGATCTTTGAATTCCCTTCAGCGTCTTTCTCAGGAGAGACCCTCCTTCCCTTCTTTTATGTGAATGAAAAAACCCAACTGGAGCTCTCTCCCTAAGGATGGAGTGCAACGTCCAAAGATTCCCACCAGCCAAGCTTTATCTCCAGAGATGTGGGGCTGTGAGTTATTTTTGCTCTCTTTCTGAAGCCTCTCTGCTCTCTTTTTACATCTGTGTCAAAACCTGACTGGGAGGCTGGAGTGTGAATGATGAAGCCACTCCTCATGGCAGTGCTCCGCTCATGGATCAGCCGGGGACTTCTTCCTCCCATTTGGAAAGCCAGCTACAACAAGAACAACAAAGAGGGAAGAAAAGATCCAAATCTGTTTTTTGTCTAGAATCCCATTTATTGGAATTCAGTTGTAAGTCTATCTGCTCTTGCCTTTCCCGGCGTTTCCCAGAGATATAGGCAGGATTTGGCTAATAAGTTAAACAAAAGGGGTGATAAGCCTTGTCTCATCCCCTTGCCAACTGGAAGCAATGGATTTCCTTCTTTTGTCCTCTTAGTGGCCCTTGTCCTGCGTAGAAGTTACACATTAGGGAACTCAAATGTTGTGGTGCTCCGATTTCATAATAAACAATCCACTGTTTTTCATGATCTCCATAATCAAACGCTTTCCTATAAACGATAAAGCACGGATTGATTTTCCTCTGAAATACTGTTCTGCACTCTGTTATCCGGCATATATATCAATAGGATCCCTTGTGCCTCTTTGTTTTCTGAACGCAGCTTGGACAGCTGGTGTATTTACTCTGTATATAATAAAATACTTGTTTTGGTAACATTTGAGTATTTCTTTATTTTTATTTATTTCCTTTTTTTTAATAATCTTTATTCACGTTTTTTATATACATATAATTAAAAAAAAGAGTTCAGACAAGTTAAAAATAGAGCATTATAAGCAGATCAGAAATTAGGGAATTAGAGGGGGGGTAGAGGGTAAAAGAATAGACTGGGGTAGGTAGAGGGTGGGTGGTGGGTGGGTGGGCGTGAAGGTGAGAAGAGTCAGAAAAAGAAGAAAAAAGAAAAAAAAGTGTGAAAGTGCCTTAAAAGATATAGAGACAAGAATCGAGGTTTCCCTCTTCCTTCGGTCTGTCTTCCTGGCGTCCTTTGCGGGGAGTTTTCCTTTTCTTTCTTCCTTTCTTTCTCCATCCTCTCTTTCGCCTTTTTTATTTCCCCCTCAGGTCGCGGAGGCTTCCTTCCTCCCGACTCTACTTCTGTTTCATATTCTATTTAAAATGTTCATCTATCATTGTCCAATCCGTTTCCTTTTCTATCCTTCCTTTATATTCCTGGATTAAGTAACTTAATCTATCCATGTTTTTCACTTCCATGATCTTCACCTCCCATTCATCTATCTTGGGTATCTCTTCCTTTCTCCAGTATCTAGCGTAACATATTCTTGCCGCTGTTATCGCTAGGAATATGAGTTTATCCGTGTTTTGATCTATTTTCTCATCCGTTATTCCCAATAGGAATATTTCTGGGGAGAGTGGAATTTTGATCTTCAGTATATTTTGTAATTTTTCGTGTATTTCTTTCCAGTATAATTTGGCCTTTTTGCAGTGCCACCACATGTGAAAATATGTGCCTCCTGTCTCCCCGCACTTCCAACATTTTGTATTTAAATTCTTATAGAATTTCCCCAATTTTGGGGGTGTTAAGTGCCACCTATAGAATAGCTTGAGCCAATTTTCCTTTAGGTCGTACACTTTTGTATATTTTAGCTTCTTTGTCCAGATAGTTTCCCACTCTGCCAAACTTATTGATCTCCCTATATTGCTAGCCCATTTTACCATACAATCTTTTATTCTTTCCTCCTCCGTACTCCATTCTAACAATTTTTTGTATATGAGCGATATTGTTTTTTTTTCTGGATCTTATAATTTTGTCCCAGGTGTTCTCCTCTTGCATGAATCCAATTTTTTTATCCATCATAAAATATTCTTTTAGTTGTTTGTATTGCAGCCACGTTACATTCGGGTATAGTTTTTATACTTCCTCTTGGGTTTTCAAATGCACCCTTTTTTTCTGTGATTTCTTTGTAGCAGGGCCACTTTATCCACCCCAGCTCTCTTCTTGGGCAGGCTTCTAAAGGGGAGACCCACAGCGGTGTTTTGTTGTATATTCTCTCTTTGTGCTTCTCCCAAGTTTTTATTATCGCCGCTCTGACAAAGTGGTTTCCAAAACCTTTCTCTATTTTTCTCTTCCCATACCAGGTGTATGCGTGCCATCCCTTTCTCAAGTCATAGCCTTCCAAATTTAATTGTTTTTCATTTTTTAGCCTAATCCAATCGAATACCCAAGTTATTGCACATGCTTCTGCATATAGCCCCAAGTCTGGCATTGCTAGTCCCCCTCTATTTTTTTCATCAGTTATGTTTTTAAAGTTTATTTTGTTTTTCTTGTTTTGCCAGATAAATCTTCTTATGTCTTTATTCCACTGATTTAATCCTTTCTGATTCCTTATAATTGGGAGATTTTGAAATAAAAATAACATTTTTGATAGTACATTCATTTTTATACATGCTATCCTGCCTAATAATGATAATTTTAGGTTTTTCCATTTTTCCAAATTTCGTTCCACTTTGCTATATAATTGTTTTGCAGCAATTGTGCATTTTTTGACGTTATTACAATTCCCAGATACTTTATTTTTGATGCTATTTTAATATTCCAATTCCTCCCAATTGTAGCCAATTTTTTCTTTGGTATATTCTTTGTTATCGCTTCTGTTTTGTCCATATTTAATTTAAAGCCCGCTACTTTCCCAAATTTCTCGATTGTTCCGAACCATTTTTCTAGATTTGTAGTTGGGTCCTCAACTATACAAATTACGTCGTTGGCAAATGCCCTATATTTATATGTTTGTCCTCTAATTGTAGCTCCTTTCAATTCTTTGTTTTCCCTTATTTCGTTCAGCAGGATTTCCATCGTTAGAATAAAAATCAATGGTGAGAGCAGGCAGCCCTGTCTGGTTCCTTTCTTTATTTCGATTTGTTTTGTCTCTTGGCCATTTACTATAATTTTAGCTTGTTGATTTTTATATATCGCTTCAATTGAATTTAGAAAGTAATAGCCAATGTCCATCTCTTTTAGTAATAATTTGAAAAAATTCCAATTTATCTTATCAAATGCCTTTTCGGCATCCAGTGCAAAAACATAACTTCCTTTTGTATATTTTTGTCGTAGTAATCAATCAAATTAATAATTGTTCTCACATTATCTCGCTGGTGTCTATTTGGTAAGAATCCCGTTTGTTCTTCTTTTATCCAATTTGCTAGGAATTTCTTAAATCTTTCTGCCAATATACTGCTGAATATTTTATAGTCCAAATTTAGTAAAGAAATAGGTCTGTAATTTTTAAGCTGTTCTGGATCTTTTTTCTCCTTGGGAATTATATATATGTAAGCTTGTTTCCAGGTTTCTGGCATTTCTCTCCTCTCCCTTATCTCATTTAATGTTCTTTTTAGGAATGGCATAATTTCTTCCAGCATTGTTTTGTAATATATTGCACTTAATCCGTCCGGACCTGGGGCCTTATTTGTCTTCAGGTTTTTTATTGCAGCTCTAATTTCTTCTTCCGAAATTTCCTTATTTAGCGCCTCTCTCTCCTCCTCCGATATTCTGCTAATTTTCTTTTCTCCTAAATATTGGGCGATTTTCTCCTTCTTTATTTGGTCGTCTTGGTATAGTCTCTTGTAATAGTTTGCGAATTGGTCTCTTATTTCTTCCTCCGATGTATATGTCTTCTCTTTTTCCTTAATTTTTGCTATATATTTTGACTCCTTCTTTTCTGTTATTCTTCTCACCAACCATCTCCCCGGCTTATTTGCGTGGTCCGCTTTGATAAATTTCAACTAATTTGCTCTCTCTTCCATCTCTGTATGTTCTCTCTTCTTTTGTAGCAATGCCAGTTTATTAGCTATTTCCTTGCTTCTAGGGTCTCTTTTCAGTTCCTCTTCATTTTTCCATATTTCCTCCATGATTTCCTTTAGTCTCTTTGTCTTCTCTTTTTTCCATCTAGCCTTTTGTTGAATAAAGTGGCCTCGTACGACTGCTTTGCTTGCTTCCCATAGTATGAATGTGTCTATCTCCTGCGTGTCGTTGGTTTTGAAATATTATTTTATGATTGTTTTACTTCTATCTATGTCTTCTTTCTTCCTTAATAGGTTGTCATCTAGTTTCCACCTCCATTTTCGCTCTTCTTCCTTCAATTCTAATTCAATGGGACAGTGATCCGAATCCGTCCTAGGTGCTATTTTTATTTTCTTTGTTTTTAATATAAGAGGCCCAGATCATATCGATTCTCGACCAGCTATTATGTCTGGCCGAGAAAAAGGTGTAATCCTGTTTATTTTCATTCTTTGATCTCCATACATCTTCCATCTTTAAATCTTTCATCATGTTCATGAAACTTTTTGGCAGGATACCTGTACTAGCTTTTGTATTTCCCTGTTCTTTCGTGGTTCTGTCTAATCTTTTATCGAGTACACCATTAAAATCCCCCAGTATAATTATTTTGTCAAAGACCTGTTTGGTTATATTTGTTTCTAGTAGTTTCACAAATTTAGATTTCGCATTGTTCGGTGCGTATATATTACAAATTAGTATTTTAGTATTTTTCCAATTGACGAGTATCCCTATCATTCTACCCTCCTGGTCCCTAAAGGCTAGTTCAGCTTCTATATTGTTAGCGACATAAGTCACTACTCCTCTTTTTTTTTCTAGAGCAGATGAATAGTATACTTTACCCAATCTTTTGTCCTCGAGGTGTGCAACATGTTTACTGGCTATATGGGTTTCTTGTAGGGCAATAATATGGAACTTTCTTTTCTTTAATTTGTTAAAAAAATTATTTCTTTTATTGGGGGCATTCAAACCATTGACATTATTACAGAAAATTTTAAAATTTTGAAACATTTAAATAGTGTCTTTTTCTTCTCTCTTCTTGTCCTGTTTCTTGTCCCTCTTCTGTCTCCTCTTCTAGCTCTTCTTCTTGTTGCTTTCCTAGGTTTCTAATCCTTTCCTCTGTAATGTACTTTTCTATTTGTTGGTTCAGGTAGTCTCTTCTTGACTCGAGTTCTTCTTTGCTGGGCGAGATGATGCATTGTCTTTTATTCTGTTTCCTTTTTGGTTCAGTCATTTCTTCTCCTTCTTCTTCTTCTTCCGCATCCTCCTTCTTTATTACTTTGTAGAATTGTCTAGCTCTCTCCATTGTTTTAATCCAATATTTTTGGCCTTTGTACATTGTCATCAGACCTTCGTCTTTCTCCCAGCGGAATCTTGCATTTTGTTTCTTCAACTCTTCTGTTAAGAAGTTATACTTTCTTCTATTGTTAATTATTGTTGTCGGGAATTCTTTCAAGATCGCAATTCTTTTTCCTTTGTAGTATATTGATTTTCCACTATTTGATCTCAGGATCTCATCTCTCGTTGTTCTCCTTGTCAGCTGTACTATAACGTCTTGGTCCATTTTGTTCTTTCTTGCGTAATTTGTGTTGATTCTGTAAATTCTATCTAGTTGTTCTGCCATATATTGTTTAGTACATTGGAGTAGTTCTGCAAGAACTTCCGTGATTATGTCCCTTAAATTCTCTTCCTTTTCTTCATGTAAGTTTCTCATTCTCACTTGGTATTCAATTTCTCTCCGTTCTAGGTTTTCCTGTCTCGATTGAATTTTTTGGTGTAGTAGTTCTAATGATCCTATTTTCTCTTCTGATGCCTCCTGTCTTTTTTCCTGGTCACTTTTCTGTTTCTTCAATTCTTCTAACTCTTCTTT